CTATGGCTCAGAAATAAACGAGACTTACCCTTTGCATTAATGCGTTTAGGAAGACTGATCCATTGCATTAATGTGTTTAAAAGGACAGCCACTTTATAACGAAGTCGGTCAAAATAATATCAGCAAAATTCAAAATGCTGCTGTTGGCAACCTATATTTATTTATTTATTGTTAATAATTTTAATTTAAAATATGGGTCGATCTACATCAGGTACCACATAAATAAAAGTTGTAAAACCTGCACAAAGTTCACAAAAACTAGTTTAACTTAAAAAAAAAGCATCAAAATTTCGATTTTTTTAATTAGATTTCCTAGAAAGAGTATGCAGTTTTATAGCCCTGTGAATTTTTCAGTATTTGCGAACCACCCTCATACAGAAATATGTATGCACGTACATGTGAATGCACAACCTTTGCTGAGAGTTACTGCTTGTGGATTCTTCTTTCTAGATATGTACATACATACGTATATATAATGCATATATGTATGTGCAGTTTAGTAAAATAACGCGTGATTCTATTTGAATTACCGCTACCCACTTATGCCCTTATTCATAAAAAATAAAGTAGTTTTATAAAAGGTTTATGAATGGAAAAATGTATGAAAACGTCAATTTATAAAGCTCTTTAAACTTACTTTATTTTTTATGAATAAGGCCATTAATGTTTAGAATACATACATACATTGTAAACCAGAATGGAATTCAACCGTTCGCAGAGACAAAGAGATGTTCACAAAGGCTTGTCTTCGCCTGCGCCGAATGCGTTCTCATCTGAGATCCGAACGAGTTCCAGAAGTAGCTTCTACCCATCATCGCACATGAACCTATTTCCATACCAGAATTTGATGGCCAAATTTCGAATCGGCTGGTGTTTAAGGACATGTACCGTAGTGACCTCGACCCGACATACAAACTCGGGTGAGTTGCGCCAATAATTAAAGGCTGAAAAGGTTCCCATGATCGGCGGACTGTACACCTCTGTATGCAGAGGTATGGTCAGAACTTAAACGCCGTTATGATAACCCCCATCACACATATCAAAGGTCTTGCGAGATATTATTGATTGCGTTCGCAATAGTTACCGAGCTCTGTCCGTCATGAAATTGCCAGTCCTTCAGTGGGACGCTATCGTGGTGCTGGTTCGGTTACCGAAACTGCCGGATGCTACCAAGAATGAGTGGGGTATGAGTTTGCGCACTACCGAGATTCCAAAGCTTGAGGACCTACCGATGTTTTTGGAGCGCCGTGCGAACAATATGCTTATCACAGCTAACGTTCATGATGTACAGTAATGTCTCGTCGCACTCCCCAGCGTTCAGCGAAGGTTAATTTTGGCACACAAACAGCATTAACTTGCCCATGTTGCCAACAGACCCTCGTTTTTCTCAGTACATGACCGTTGGGCGACAGTTAAACGAATAGGTCTTTGCTTTAACTGCTTGCAAACAGAGCACGGGTCTACCATGTGTCAACGTAAGCACAACACGCTACTTTGCCGTGATGGAGATAAGGGGACTACGAATACTACTCGTATTACTTCACCTGCAGAAGGACCAGCAACCCCTCCAGCGAAAGTGACAGCTCCCGCTAACACACCCCCTCGTTCATTGCCTCGGAGTCAATGACTAACCGACAAGGCTCAGTAATTCCTCATCCATGGGGATTGCGTCGTGTTGCTCGCTACAGACAATGTACGGCTAACCGATTACCATGGGAATCAACATTACTGGCGGGCACTGTGTGATATGGGATCTCAGGTTAGTCTTATAACAGAGTCAATATTTAATAAGTTGAATTTACGTAGACGACGCTGCGAGGTGCTGGTGGAGGGCATGGGAACAGCTCCATCAGCTTACACCAAAGACATAGGTACCATAAGGTTGCATTCTAGAGTCAACGAAGGCCTGGAGATCAACTTAGATTTATACATCTTGCGTACAATACTGTCTACCACACCGGTAACGTCAATTGGTACCAGTTCTTGGAACCATATAAATTGGTTACGACTTGCCGATCCCACATTTGGAACACCTGGACATATAGATCTGCTTCTAGGTGCTGATACTTGGAGCGCAATTATCCAGGACGGGGTAGTTGCGGGTAATGTAAACCAACCGTGCGCGCTGCAGACCCGCCTCGGTAGGATCGTGTTCAGTTAAACAACACCAATACTCGGGACATACCAGGGCATGCATATACAGCTAACAAATGCGATGAACAACGGCTGGATGTTTTGTTGCCGCAGTTTTGGGAGGAAGAAGCATCCTCAGAGATACGAAACCCTGAAGAGGACGAGTGTGAATGCATCTTCATGAACACTGTCACGCGGAAGCCAGACGGGCGATATAGTGTTCAAATTCCATTTCGTCGCCCTGGGACTTGGGTATTCTCGCAGGGCAGTGCTCCCCCAATTTCTTCAGTTGGAACGCAAGTTGGCAAGCAATCAGAAGCTCCGTGAGAAATATGTGGAGTTTATGCGAGAATACGAGGCACTGGGTCACATGAAAGTGGTTGGGGATTCTGATATGTGATCCTAAATGCTACTTCATCCCACACTATGCTGTGCTGACGAAGTTTCGGGTAGGGTTCAACGCCTGGGCAAAATCGAGCAACGGGGTATCGCTGAACGATATACAGTTTGCCGGTACTCAACTCCACGACAACCTTGTTCCGTCGATTCGCTGTAGCGATTACGGGTGACATCAAGAAGATGTTTCGACAAGTTGAAGCAGATCCCAGACATCTCGCTTGGCAGCAGATTATCTGGAGGGGGTCTCCTGACGATCCCTTTCGCACCTATCAGCTGAGCACCGTTACTTATGGAATGGCTCGCAGCCCATATAACGCTGTTCGTGCGTTACAACAGTGCGCGATCGATAACCACGGAATAATTACTGACGCTTGCCGGTCTCATAATTTCTACGCAGATGATTACTTGGATAGCGTAGAAGATGCAAACGAAGCAGTGACTCGTTGTTGCGATGTGTATGATATTTTGATGAAAAGCAAATTCGAGGTATGTAAGTGGAATTCCAACAGCGTGGAATGACTTCGCGGTGTCTGCTTCGGAAGTGGATTTGGATGAGTGTCACACTAAGGTCTTAGGACTACAGTGGGACCCAATACGTGCGAACTTTGTATAAGGTGTGAGTAGATCAAGACCAAGTAACGCTTACTAAACGTTCCATTCTGAGCGAAGTCACACGGTTATACGATCCGATTGGAATGTTGGCTCCAATTGTGGTATACGCAAAAATATTCACACAAGAACTGTGCAAGGTCAATATGTTGGGA